CCGCCCCCCACCTGCCCCCTCCCCGCGCGCTCCGCTCCACAACCGGGCGCAGGGACCCGCTCCTGAAGCAGGGGGGACCCCTGGACTCTTGCTACCTAACCTCCCATCCTTCCCACCAGGAGCTATTCCCGGTCCGTCAGAGTCTCCCAACTTAAGATTTCTGGCTTTCCTCTCCAGCCCCCAGTGCCTAGGTGCAGCAGGGGTGGCCGACTCAGCCTCCGCCCACTCGCCCATCAGCGGGGATGAATATCCATCTTCCCCCTTTCCAGAGGTTTTATGGTATTGCCCAATCCTCAATTTGGGGGAGGGGACGGAGAGAACAGTCCGTGGAATGAGGGAAGATGATAGCCAATTGAATGAACCATCCTTTCAGGGGCGGGGTCAAAGAGATGCCTGCCCGTCCGCCCCGCCCCCTCGCTCCAAACTACATTTCCCATCGTGCCTTTCATTTCCCGTCGCGCTGCACGCCGGGAGTGCAGGACTCGGAGACCGCAAGATATATCGGAATTCGTAGTCTTTAATCTAGCCAAAAAGGTCCTAAAAGTTATAAGCTATTATAATTCTCTCTGTTTCCCTAGATAAATGTTCCAAGTTCTCCGTTATGTTGTACTTATTCTAATACTAATTAATTTATTTAAAATGTCATAATTTATTTCTTAGCAAAGGAAGTAAAAATATGTATATTAGCAATCTGTCAGGACCTGGGAGCCTCTTCTTCCGCTGGGGCCTGGTCTCCGCAGTTCTGTTGCCGTCATGTCGGCAGCAATTGCAGCTCTGGCTGCTTCCTATGGTTCGGGTTCAGGGTCCGAATCGGACTCGGACAGTGAGGGCGGACGATGTCCACTGCCAGCCGCTGAATCCCTCATGCACTTGACTAAATCGCCCTCTGCCAAGCCCTCTCTGGCGGTGGCGGTGGACTCCGCTCCGGAGGTGGCAGTTAAGGTAAGCGCTTCTGCCTCTGATGCGGTTCGGGAATTTGGCTTCTGCTCCAAAACCTGGCAGTCGCTTGTCAGGCCGCGGGTTACCTCTTCTTCGGTGCTGAGAGTGAGTTGCTAACGCTTGGAGCTCTTCTCCCTGCCACACGCGTCTTCCTGGGAAAAGGTCGGGAAGTGGAGGTTCGGGACAGCCCTCCGCTGCTCCCCGCTCTCGCCTCCCGCCGGACAGCGGGTGGGAAGAGGGAGTGAAATTTATGGATTAGGATGTGGCCTGGATAGAGCAGGGGAAATCTCAAAACAGAAGGAAGGCTAACGCAGGGCTTCCCAAACCAGAGCGTGTGCCCTCCCTGGAAGGGAGCGGCGGACCGGCTTTGTTTTGTTTTTTAAGTCAGAACTAGATCCAGTCCCAGCTCCACTTGTGTGAACTTGGCCACGTTTCCTGCCTGTGCGGTGGAGATAATTTTACAAGCACCTGTCTATATGAGTGGGTTATTGTCTAGATGAAGTGAAGTGGTGGAAATAAAGCTTACAGCGCAGAGCCTGGTATTTAATACAGTGCAACAAATGTTACCTCTTTTGATGGTCTAGGTCCATACAGGGAGAGAGGGACTTGGGCTTAAGAAGGATTGTGCCTGATCCCAGTTGAGAGAGGTGATAAAGGGAGAAATCGGGTTATCTGGTTGATTTAACACACATTGAACGCACGTTATTTATCAGGAACTGTTCTAAGGGTTGAAGACACAAAAACCAGGCCATCAGGGTGCGCACCTTCTAGTGGAAGAGGCAGCCAGTAAAAAGTGAGCAACTAAAGTGGCAGGTTGGATTTGGTGCTGTGAAGGGGGAAAACAGAGTCCTGCGAGAGAGAGTGCAGGCGTAGGACTTCAAGAGACTGGTCAGGGAAGTCCTCTCTGAAAAAGCAGCGGCCGGCCATGTGCAAGCTAAGCCAGGAGCTTCCTGGCGAAGGAGACAGCAAGCCTTGTAACGACAGAGAGTTTAATGTGTTATAAGAACTGCGGAAAGGTCGGCGTGTCTAGAGCCCAAGGAGAGCATCCACCAATGGGTAGTACAGGCCCAGAAGAGCCTAATGGATGGGGGGGATCAAAATGTCAAGATGTGGTGAGGGGAGACAGTGTACAGAAATTCCTTTGTATTTAAGGTCTTCTCAAATCCAGGGTGTTGTCACTTAAGTTACTTACAGGTTTTTAGTGAGCTATTTATGAATTTTACTTTTTACTAATGGGCATTTGGTATGAAAGAATGCTTAGAATCCTCCTATTTTTATAACAAAACAGATTCCCCAAACTTATACTCCTTCATCAACCTTCCGAGTCTCGATTTCTTTCACAGCCCAGGTTTTTGGAGCTCTCTCCTACTTCTTCACTGCATTTTCTCCTCAACCCAAACAACGCAGCCTAGTCGTAGCATCTTGGGAGAACTCTTGGAGCTGTAAGATGTCATAAAGCATGTGAAGCACTTAGGACTCTGCCAGGAACACTGTCCTTATTATTTCCAGTTGTAAGCTCCTTGCTAACTCCAGAACTATTAAACTTCTCTCCCAGCATGGCTCTCGGCACCTCCAATCCCATTTTGGTTTTTTTGTTTTGTTTTTAAATATATCTTTATTGATTTCAGAGAGAGAGAGAGAAACATCAATGATGAGAGCCATTGATCAGCTGCCTCCTGCATGCTCCTGACTGGGGATCGAACCCCCAACCCGGGCATGTGCCCTGACGGAGAATTGAACCCCAATCGCCTGGATCCTAGGTCAAGGCTCAATCGCTGAGCCACGCCCGGCTGGGCCCCATTTTGAATAATAATTCCAACCCATTAATCCAAGCCAAGAACGGAGGGGTCTTCCTTTTCTCTTCTTTCTTCCTCAGCCCTTGAAGCTAGTCATTGGGCTTCCTCTAACATTTCTGCCAGGCCCTGCACTAGGCTATAAAATAAGTCTCAATAAATTTTAGAGTGTCTTTAAGTGAGGATTAACTGGTGGCAGCTGCTTTCAGTTTTAGTTCGTCTTTAAAACATTTTTATTTAAGCCTCTTTCTTGAAGGATATTTTCACTGAGTTTAGTTTGCTTAGCTGAATTATTTTCTCATAGCATATTTAAATTTTTCTACTGTCTTCTGATTTTCATCGTTACTAATAACAAGTCAGCTGTCTGTAGCTGTTTTTCTTTTTTCTTTTGACTGCTTCTAAGACACTTGCTCCGGACCCCTTTTATTTGGGATATAGTTTCATTATTTATGTTCATTATTGGATACACAGTTGTGGATTTCTTTTTATTTGTCCTTTATTTGTGAATTAACTGGTTTGTCCTTTTCATTTGTTTCTTTAATTGTGAATTAACTGGTTTGGAGTGTAAATCTTTCAACATCTCTGGAAAGTTCTCAGTGCTTATCTTTTCAAATATTATTTTAGTCCAATTCTCTCTTCTCTTATTCTAGACTCTAATTTAACATATTTGTGTTCTCCAATGTATGACAATGAGTATTTTCTGGTTAAAATTTTATTTTAATGCAACATTGTCAGATTTTGCACTTTGGAAATCATGTGATAAGCCCTATTGGATTGTAACAGTTGCTTATTAGTTGACTTTGAAGTTAAAGAACTAAAGCAGTTCTCTCATTTCAGTTAATAACTGTTACTTTTCCCCAGTGTATCCCTTGCTTTAGCATATAGTCTACTTGAGTAAAATGAAAATTCTGCCTCTATTCTTGAGAATATTTTAAAATTTCTTCTTCGTGAGTGATCTTTCTCATATTTGTGAGCTTCAAATGATCACCCTTTTCCTCTGCATTTGTTAAGTGCCAAACTCAATATCTTTATATGAATTTCTGTTCTTTTATCTGATCCACCTAGACTCCCATTTTAGGAAGTTTATTCATTTTCACTTTCAGGGGGGAAAAACAACACTATACCATAAATTGATAAATGGTTTATAGTAATGATTAGTATTTGAGTTCTGCTTTATAGTTTATAAAGTGATTTCACATCTATTTTCTTATTTGTACAACAGTAAGAAATGTGAAAAAGACTTGAAAGTAAATATCATGTAGTTTTGTTCTCAGATCTCTTTGAATCAACGAAAGATAAACTTTCCAAACTTACTTGACCCATAGGATCTACCCTTCATTTACTGTACTTTAATTTATATGGATAATTAAAACTGAATAGAAGTCCTTTGTAATTCTGAGGTAATTTCAATTGCATGCCTAATTGTTATTGTACTCCTCATGAGTTTTAAAGTTGTGGTATTGTCCAAGTTTTTCTAATTAAATGTAAAATTAGTAACCCTTTTTTTTCTGGAGTTCTATTCAATTTGTTCTGTAATTTTAGGAGGACCCAGAGACTGGGACTTATTTATATTTTTTATTAGTTGCACTGCTGCATATATAAAGAGTAATTCTTTTCAAATTGTACTTTGAATTTAAAGCTTGGTACCTCATGGTACTCTGTTTAAATAATTAAAATTTAGGATACCCTTAATTGGAAAGATCTAGTAAACCATATTATAAAGTGGTTCTAGCAACTGTATTCTATGACATTCATTGGGGAGGTATCAATGTGGCCTCTTGTTAATTTAAGCAGTTTATCACTACAAGTTGAATATTAAGAGATAAAACATTTAATTTAGTTTTTATGCAGTTTAAGCAATTTGTATACAACCTTTTAACTTTATAGTGCTACTGAGCCCAAGGTAAGAAACTGTCTCTAATCAGTGACGATTCTCGTGTGCATTCTAGGGTAGTATCTATGTGTCATCTTTTAGGTGGCCCAGCATTTGAATCCCCTTCCCTCAGAGTCTTAGTGTGAAGAATATCCCTCCCTGCCCCCTACCTTCAGGAGCTGAAAACCCAGATTCTCATTCTCCCAGCTCCCTTGGAAGGCCCAGTACTATGGCTTGGGCTCAGCCAGGCAAATGCATCCACCTAATCTAAAGGTAATCCACAAAGGAGCAAGGAAATATTTTTAAGTGGCAGTGGTAGGCAACATTATCTAGTTTCTTGGACTAGTAGTTTCAACAGCAGCATCCAGTGGTAGCCATAGCAGTGGTTTCAGAAATGATGAACTCTACGCTATGATTGATTTAGAATTGTGCTTCCATCTGTATACTCAGCCCTTCATCTCGCCTGGTTCCCCATGCTGATTCTCCACCCTTCTTGGCAATGCTAAGAGAAACTTAGAAGGATCCAATACTGTTAATCAGCCTGTGATGGTTTCAGTTGCTTGCAACTAAGAACCTGACTGATATTCTGCCAGCAATTTTTGTTTGTTTGTTGCTAGTTGGGTCTCTTTGACATCCTTCATTGTGGTTACTTCAAATTCTTCCCCTTCTCATTTATTCTGTTAGTACTTTGGGGTAAGTGACTTAATCTTGTTAATACTTAACTCACAGAGTGTTGTAAGGATTATGTGAGGTAATGTGTTTACCCCAGTCCTGGCACTAATGTTAAATACTGTTTTTTCCATAGCACTTGCCCTCTTCTAGCAAACTATATATATAACTCACTTATTTATTATATTGGTTATTGTCTATATCCCTCACTAGAATATAAGCTCCACAAGGACAGGGATCTTGGTCTTTTTCTGTGGGCCTAGAGCACTGCCCTGGCACATAGTAGACACACAGTAAGTATTTGTTAAATGAATAAATAAATCTCTAGTTACCGTGCTTGCTTTATGAAGATGTCTGTGCCCCTAACTACACAAAGAAAATAAAAAGACCAGCTGTGACTCCCTACATCTCCAACCAGCTCTAAACATCTATCACCTGTCAGTTATCTTTGTCATCTCTTTCATCTGGAGAGAGCTCCTTCTCTTTTCAGAGGCTAATCTTCTAATCGGGATTCCCTTCCCTTCCACCTCTTCCATACCTTTGATTATCCCCTCCTTTTCATGTGCTTCTCCCTCTCACCTGTGACTAAATCTCTTACCTAGTCTTTTCTTATGGAGAGAAAAACAAACTTAATTTCACCCTGAAAGTCCTTCTATCTGGCACCCCATCTCTTCTCTTCTTTATTACCAAATGTCTTGAAATGAAAGAGGAAAAATTATTACTTTCTTGTTTTTCTAAATCCTGAGTTATACCTCTGCCCCTTGCAGCTGGCTTCTCATACCCCACCCCACTACCAAAATTGCTCTGGCAAAGGTTTTTTGTGACATGATTGCCAAATTAAGTGGTTTTGGTCAGCCTTCATTCTATTTAATTTCTCTATGGATTTGACTTTTCTTCAGTTTAATTTAACAAATATTTATTGAACATGCTCTGAGTGCCCTGCATTGAACTAGGCAGCAGAGATCATGTGCAACAGATAATATCACAAATGCTATAAGGAGTTATGTAAAGCATTCCTTAGAACTGTGGACACAAAAAAAACAACAACAAAAAACACAGTTTTCTAGAGCCAGGAGGAGGGAAATTATCAGGGAAAATGAGATGATGACATATTATCATCATCGTCAGATTAGCCGCTAATGATAATTAAAGGGAAATGCATAATGAACAAAGAGCAACTTTGCCAACAGCACAGAAAGCATGAAAGTGCTTGCTATTTTTAAAAATCAGCACTTAGCCTAATATGGCAAAAGTGGGGGGCATATTAAACCTGATAAGGAGGTATTATAATAGACCAGGCAAGATACAATGAAGCCCTGAACTAGTATAGTGGTGGCTGGGATGTGGAGAAGGGATGGTGGGAGTGGAGTTGCTGGAAAAATAGTGCAGAGGTAGAATAGTAAGACTCGGTGCTTGATTTGTTAGTGAGTGAAGGCTGAGATACGGGGAAATGGCATCTGTTTTGTACATAGCAGAGGAACATTCATATAATAAAGGTCCGTAGGCAGTCAGATGTATGGATCCAAAGGCCAGGAGTGTGGTCAGGGGTGAATTTGGGATGGAAATTGAAGTCATGAGGAGGGTAAGCTATGGTAAAGATATGAACAGTTTTGAAACTGGTGGGGAAGGGAGTTTAATGGAGTCATATCTGAAAGACTCTACCTTTGAGAAGTAGAGAAACTAAGTTGCCTACTTTGGTGAAGGGTGTTTAAGAAGATGTAAAATTTTCGCCCTGGCCGGGTAGCTCTGTTGGAACGTCATCCTGTACACCAAAAGGTGGCAGATTTGATTCCCCATCGGGGCACATACCTAGGTTGAGGGTTCAGTCCCTCATCAGGGTGTGCATGGGAGGCAGCCGATCGATTTTTCTCTCTTTCTCTCTCCCCTTCTCTCCTCCCCTTCCTCTCTCTCTAAAAATCAATTTAAAAAAACACATATCCTCGGGTGAAGATTAAAAATAATAATAAACAACAAATAAAAGATGTAAAATTTTGGAACAATATCTGTGTGTTTATGGTGTTATTTTTCTTGCCAGTTGTGTAGTCGCTGGTCATTGGCTGGTCTAAATCTACCAGATCTTCATTTGTCAGTGGCATTGCTTCTTCTCCAACATTACTGTCAATGTCATGATATCCCACCCATTTTGCAAAATTTGTGATATTACTTTGCATTGTCTTTGCTTTGTATTGACAGATGTATCCTACCATCAGCAAGAGGCTCATAGAATAAAAATGGTGATATGGTAGGGATAGTTCTAGCAGTTGAGGACACACTTGTGCATACAAAATCCAACTTGTGGAGGGAGGTAGACGATCAATATATATGTCAGGTGGTGATAAATATAATGGAGGTCATTAAAACAGGGTCAGAGAAAAGTAAAGAAACTGAGCCCAGACCTGAAAGAAGAGAGAGAGTCATGCGGATATCCAGGAAAAGAATATTCCAGGAAGAGGGAATAGTAAGCCCAGAGACCCTGAGGCAGGATTGTCCTTGGGTGACTCCAGGACTAGCAAATGAGCCAGTGAGGCTGTAGTACAGTGAGCATAGGTACAGGGCGAGACGAAGACAAGGTGGGCTGCAGGGGAGGAGGCGGGGCAAATCACGGAGGGTAAATTCTCAACCGGTTAGATGCAAACATCCTCATTTTATAACAGCAATTTTGTAATTCCAGCTTTACCAAAATATAATTCATAAATGATACGTAACTTCCTTAAAATTTTCTAACTATAACTTGAATTTAAATTAAAGGTATTTATAACATGTTTAATATGAAAATTAAACCTGTACAAAAGCATGTTTTTAATATATAAAAGCTAAGGCAGGACCAAACAGGAGGGCAAAAATGCCTATGAAACTGCCCTAGGGAACTATACTTAATTTCTGAGGACAACTGGTAACGAGCCTGGTAGGCCTTTGTTAAGCCTTTACCCTGAGTGGGGAAGGTGCTCTGGAGGGTTTAGAGCACAGGAGCAACATAATCTGATGAGTATTTGAAAATAATCACTGGCATGGTTATGGAGTGAGGCTGTTGGTGGGCCAGGGACTTTTAAAATAATCCAGATGCAAGATGATAAATTGAACTGAGGTGAGAGTGGAAAGGACTTAAAAAGCGGTTGTATTCTGGGTGTGCGTAGAGGGCCGACCTGCTGAGGCCTGGGCGCAGTGCTGCAGAAGGGGAACAAAGGGGCTGCTATAACGCCCGGAATTCCCGCAAGAGCAGTGTAAGGATGGACTGCACTTAACTTAGAGAAGGCTGGAGGGAGTTACTGGGGAAAAGGAGACCAGAGATCCCCTTTTGGACATATTAAGTGGGAGATGAAGAAAAGATACCCAATTGAAGGTCAGATACACAAGTCTCTAGAGTTCAAGGGAAAGGTCCAGACTAGAGATACCAGTTTGGGAATCGCTGTGTCTGTAAGTGGTGGGGCTACACAAAAGATAGACTATCAGTGATTCTGTAGTGGCGACGAGATTTTTATGTTCATTAAACTGGGGGATGAATTTAAGAAGGGTGGAACATTGACCTAGATGATAAGACTTAAGAGTTAGATCTGGGCCCTCTCACTTCCTTTTGTTTCCTGTGCAATCCCCAACCAGTCCACCTGAGTATATATTTAATAAACTGCTGAGTAAGGAGAATTGCTTCTCCTGAATTTGGAACCAGAAGATCAGGTCTTTTTGAGTTAATAAAAAAGAGGAGTTAGACACTTAATTTAAGGCTTTGAGTTCTGTTAACTTATTTAGAAATTTTTAATTTCTTCAGCTGGGATAAAGTTAGTATTTTGAAAGGAAAAAAATGTTTGTTATGCATTCTAACCTTTATACCTATATACATTACTTTTATTCTTTGGTTATTAGAATTATTAATTATATGGCACTGATGTAATAATCATAAAATTGGTATTAAAATGGCTAGGGTGACAATGTAGTTTTAAAATAAAACAATTACTTGCCAGATCTTTAATGTTCATTTGGTTTTCTTTTAGGAAGATTTGGAGACTGGAGTTCACCTTGACCCTGCTGTCAAGGAAGTTCAGTATAATCCTACCTATGAGACCATGTTTGCTCCTGAGGTAAGAAAACACAACTATATTTAAGGTTCTGCCTTTTACTAAACTATTTAAATTATACATAGGTAGATAAACAGTTGGTGAATTTTTTTTAAGTTTTCTCAAAAAAGTATACTGTTTATCCCTAGCTGGTTTTGCTCAGTGGTTAGAGAGCTGGCCCATGGACTGAAGGGTCCCGGGTTCGATTCCGACCAAGGGCATGTACCTGGGTTGCAGGCTCCATCCCGGGAGGCAGCCAGTCGATGTGTCTTTCTCACATCGATGTTTCTCTCTCCCTTCTACTCTCTCTGAAAAGCGATGAAAAAAAGTATCCGTAGGCGAGGATTAAAACAAAACAAAAAGTGTATTATTTAAACTCGTTAGAAAATATATCTTATAATATATCAACTATATCTCAATTTTAAAAGAAAACATCCTCTGTTTCCCAAAACTTTCAATAGCGTATATGCTTTTGTGAGATGTTTATCTACCAACATACAACTATCTGGTAGCATGGAACTACGTATTTTGAAAAAAGGAAATCTCAGAATATCTGATTCTTAGGTGTGAACTTAGTTAACATCTTCCTCTCAGTATTGATGAGGCAGTATTACATATTAACCATTAGGGGGGGAAAATTTGCTTTATTAATATCATCACTGCATAGTATATTATGAAACATCTAGTTACAAATGTTGCTGTGCAGAACATTAAAAAGAGGTACCATTCTGATGTGGCCACTGCTCAAAAGTAGTTGCAGTGTTTATTGCCTGCTCTGAGTAAGACATCTTACAAATTCTTTTTTCGATATGATTATAGTGATAAATGATGATGAAGGCATTAAAGAAGATGAGGAAGGGGGGGAAGAGTGAAAATTGTTCATTTAGGAACATTTGTAGAAAAGATGAAATTTCTAGATATTTTGCCTTTAAAGGGGAAAAAGAATGCTTGATTGATAAAACAGAGATGCCATAAAAAGGTCATTATAAAAAAAAAAGGCTTTATTAGCAGAAAAACTTTAAAAAGCTAAATCTTATTGCATCTTGGTAGAGAAAGAGGTACTTTTTAATATTTTTTATTTTTTAGTGTATAGTCATTGGGGTTTTTTGTTTGTTTGTTTGTTATAAAGCAGAATCATAAAACTATTCTATATAATTTGCCTGCTTAGGTTTCTGTAGTCACTCAAAATATGGCAAGTGAAATATGTAGCACAGCCAATGATGTCAGTGCTAGTATTTAGACAGTGCTCTAGTTCTCTTGGTATACAAGGAAGCAAAAGTTTCATTCTCACATTCTGAGACTGTGGCACATTTTAAATTTTATTCCATTATTTCTTAAATCCTTCCAGTCAGTCAAACTATAGGCTGTCCCATATTCCTTAACACCATTTAAGCCATCACACTGACGAGAGGTTGTATATTACATATATGCTTCGTGATTTTTTTAATGAAAAGCGCTTCAATAAAATAGGATCACTAAATTCAAAAAAGTTAGAAAATTTGGAAGTAATGTGGGATGTGACATTCCTATGTCAGTATATGTATTTTCTATGAAGTCTGTTTTTCTTAAATTTTTAGATCCTATGCATAACTAATAAATTGCTATTTGATTATAGTTTTCAAAAATTTCAAGAAAATTTAAAAGGTCAAGGTTTTTGTGGTGATATTGACAAGGCAGTAGGCGTATTCTTTTTGTGTGATTATCAGTCTTTTAATATTCTCATAATAGGAAACCTCCCACCAAGTATATAAACTAGTTTACGTTAGAAGTACTTCAGTACTTGTCAACAATTTAAGAAAAGAATGAGAATGAAAAGTAAAGAAAAATGACAATTTTTCCTGGTTGCCAAATGAATCATCTGTGACATAACAGATTATTAACTTTGAATTTTATGACTAGGATCTTTAATTTGGCAAAGTCTGGAAAGGTGTTACCAGGAACTTTGCTAGATGAAATTCGAGTTCTCATATTTGAGAATCCATTGTTAGAAACAAAATATAAGCCTTCTGTTTACCATAGAAGATATGCTAAGTGTGTTTTTTTTAAATATGCTTTTGTTGATTTCAGAGAGAGGAAGGGAGAGGGAGAGAGAGATAGAAGCATCAATGATCAGAGGGAGTCATTGATCAGCTACCTCCTGCACACCCCCTACTGGGGATGGACTCTGCAACCCAGGCATGTGCCCTGACCAGGAATTGAACTGTGACCTCCTGGTTCATGGGTTGCCTGTTCAACCACTGAGCCACACCAGCTGGGTGCTAAGTGTGTTTTTTTAAAAAGATAGAGACCAGACTATTTCCTTTAGAGGACACCTATAGGAAATAGTCTGGTCTCTTCAGGTTTAAGGAGAGATTGTATCTGGTTTTAAAGATAAGAAAAAGTTCCATGAAAGAAACAGTATTTAAAGTAAGCAATACAATCCAGGTTAAGAACATGAGATTTGGAGTTAGATTGCTTTTTAGGTCTTGTGTGACCTTGGATTATCTTAGTTTCCTCATTAAGTAAAGTGAAGATAATTTCTGCTTTACTGAGTTATAAGGATAAATGGATAACGTATGATATGTTTAGGAAACTTTCTGGCATAGAGTAAGCATTTAATAAATGGTACCACTTACTGTTACTTACATAACTATTATTGGCATTGATGATTAGGTAGGCTATTACGAGGAAAGATTCCAGGCAGAAGGCAGCAGCGTGAGCTGAATCATAGATCTAAAGAACAAGAATGCTGCCCTTGCCAGGTGCTCAGTTGGTTGGAGCGTGTCCCATACACCAGAAGGTGTGGTTCTATTTCTGGTCAGGGCACATACCCAGGTCGCAGGTTCTGTCTCTGATCGGGGCATGTACGGAAGGCAGCCGGCCCATGTTTCTCTCTCACATTGATGTTTTTCTCTCTCTCTGTCTTCCTCACTCTCTAAAAATCGATAAAAACATATCCTTGGGTGAAGATTAAAAATAATATAATAATAAAGTGGTTAAATCTTTAAAAAGGAAGAACAGGAATACTTTCGTCATTGTTAGTAGGGGAGAACAGGAGGTAAGACTAGAATGGTAGTTTGTATATTGCACAGGGCCTGGGGACCAGGGTGAAGAGTTTGGTCTTGATTTAACAATAAGTAGATTTTTAAGGTTCTTCAATGAGTGAGTAGCATAATTAAAGCTGAATGTATAGGGAGGTGAATTTGGTAAGGGTTTGTGATAGAAAAGAACAGTGATAGAAACGTGAAATAAAACCACCATTTATTACTGTATGCCAGGTACTGTACTGAAGGGCATATATACTTCCATATGTATCTCCTTTAGTCTTCATTACAACCCAGTGAAGTGCCTACTCTTATCCCTGTTCTATAGCAAGGAAACCAAGTCTCAGACTGTACTGTCAGCAGGTGACAGATTTGCAAATCTGAGTCCAGATCACTTAACAATCACTCCATAACTGGAAGACCAGTTGGAAGGCCATGGTGAGGTTTGCAGGATACATGCCTATGTCTTTGACTTTGCTAATTCAGTAAATTAACTGAATTGGCTATTTTATTTTATCAAATACTGCTCCCAACCAAGGACTTTCCCTAAATGGTCTACCTAGTTATCAGATAAGCTTTCTTAATTTATAGATAGAACTTGAATACAGTAGCCATTGTTTTAGTCTATTTTTTTTTTTTTTTTTTTTTAATTTCACCCAATTCTTATTGTATCTACTTAAAGAAAAGTGTATTTGTTAGCTTCTCTGGACTCATAAAACCCATAAGCTTCAGGGGGATTCTCAGACTTAAAATAATAGTATTTTTAAGAATAGGAAAAAAGTGTAAAAATTAAGAGGGGGGAAAAAATGCCAGTTACTCTTAAAAATCTGGCTGTATGGGCTGCTATAAATATTAATGTTAAAATGAGCTTTAAAAATCATGTGGTCCAGCTCTTTTATAGATGAGGAAACTAAGGCCCCAGATCATAGAAACAGCCCTAATAAAATATTCCAAATACTTCTTTTCAACTTTTGGTAGTTAAGTGTAAATTTGTAATTCAGGTGATTTTTAGAAACTGACTAGTATGTGAAATAAGTTTACATATAGAAAAAATACAAGTTATTGAACTAATAATCATACTTAGATTGTTGGTAAGTTTTTCATTAATATTTGTGGGCTACAGAGTCTTGTACTCTCCTTTATTATAATTTAGAATAAATAGTAATAAAAGCTTTATATATAAAACATTTTAAGATTGAATTATTTTAAACAGAGATGAAGCTGTTAATAAAAAATGAATATTGTCATTTATTAAGCAGAAAAATTGTAAGGCAAATCTAACATCCTTTAAATTTATATTTTTGTGCATAATATAATGTTGGTATTTAGAGAAGGCAGCATTCTGGTTAAGAGAAGATGAATAATTTATATGTATGGCTGTTGTATGTATATTGTAGAAAAGTGGTTTCTAATGCCAGTGACCTAAGATGTTTAATGTCAAAATATTTTATCGTGACAGTACACCTTCCAGAGTTCAAATAAAAATATCACCTCTAATCCCATTATTTCCAAAGTGGGAAGTTCATTTTATTCTTTACTTTAAAACAAAAAAAAAAAGAGAGTTGGATTTTTCCCAATACCTTTTATAATAGCTTTTTTTTAAAAAAAGCTAGAGGTTATGATTGTATGTTTAAGGAATATTTTATGTGTTAGAATGCTAGGTTAGGATTTATGCTAGCCTTGATTCTACTAATGAATAAAACTGTTGAAGCTAAGGCAGGTAAAATACATTATCTTTGGCCTTTTTCTTCATTTCTAACATGAGAATGAAAATACTTCTCTAACTTTCCTGGATTTTTGTACGAATTAAATAACATTTGGAAAGCCATTCTAGAAACTCAAAGCATTACAAACAGTTAGTAGTGGTACTGTTTTGTGTAAGACTTTCATAGTGTGACTTTTCAGAGTGGAGAAATTTTATTTACATTTGTAATGTCTTTCCCTAGAGACTTTTTCTAGTACTTTACTTTTATTGTTTATTTTACTGTCTTCTGCTCCCAGTTGGATTCTGATTAATCTTTCCTTTATTAGTGCTTTACCATCTCAGGCACCATGCTAAGTTTTAAGGATTCTAAGTCTCTACCTTTGAGGAACTCAGTCTAGTAGAGGAGAAATACGTATTTTTAAAATTATTTCATGGTACCATTATTGATATAAAAGTCATCCCAAATCCCTCACATCATAGTTTAAACAAAACAGTAGTAAATCTCAATTATCTAGAGAAACACTGTCAAATAGAACGCCTGTCGTAATGGAACTATAGTACCCAATAACCATACGTGGCTCTTGAACTCTTGAAATGTGCCTAGTGTGACTGAGGAACTGAATACTTTAATTAATTTTAATTTAAATAACCACTTGTAGACTTGGGTGCGCTAGGTTTTTCTCCTTCTGTCCTAAAGTTGACAGACAGGCCTAATCAGCCATCTCTCACTAGCACTGAACTAAGTGAGGCGAGCATGTTCCCAAATAGGTTAATCAACCCCAGATGATTTAGAGTTGAAAATATATTATACATTGTATATTATTCTAGTTATTCTAGCTTTATACACTCAGAATTTAAGTGTGTGATTTTTTCTTTTTCTTTTTCTTGTTTTGTGTTTTTTTTTATAACGCTACAGTTTGGACCAGAAAATCCCTTTAGGACACAGCAAATGGCTGCCCCTAGAAATATGCTTTCTGGATATGCTGAACCAGCTCATATAAATGATTTTATGTTTGAACAGCAAAGAAGAACTTTTGCCACATATGGTAAGGTGATCAGACTTACAGTTTCAAGTTTGACTTTATTAGAAGTGGTGTGTGGGTGTGTGTGTGAGAGAGAGAATCTATCTTCTAGCTTTTTAAATTTATTAATCTGGATTCCTTCAAAAAGGGTATTGTGTTTTCTTATGCACATCTATAAATATTTATACAAATGGGAAGGTAAACTAATATTTTTAGCTATCATTCTAAATATGCTATGATTTCTGAATACTAGAAATATTCTGTGGTCTTAGAAACAGAATATTCTCTGTTGTACTTGATGTTGAATGTTCATTATATGCAGATTACTCTTGAATTTAGTAAAGGACAGGATAGATTAAGAGGTTACACTTTTTATTTTATATACTAGTTTACTTTACTCTGTTTCTCAACTCTTATGCATCAGGAAATAGAATGACCACAAATTTATTGTAAAATAATTGCATGTGCATACACAGGGCTGTGAATCCTCTCCAAAAGATGATTTTTATAATGTCCTTGTTGAGAGTTCCACAGGCCATAGGTTCTGGCCACATGTATCAGATTTGTCCGTATTCAGTGGTGCCTTTCCTTTCTCTTCCTATTCCACACCTGCAGTTTGACAGACACACTGATCACCTTACTTTAAAGAGCTTTGTAATAGGGGTGGGTGAGCAAAGTAAATGAGAATGTTTATGTCTCTTGTAGTTGTGATCTTCTTTATGAATTAATAACTTGTGCTGATGTTTCTTTCTCAGAAGAGTAATTGAAAAAGAAAACTCTGAATTTTTTTACAGTAGATTTAATAATCACATTTTATTTTTTTAATTGATTTTTTGAGAGAGAGAGAGAGAAACATCGATTTGTTTTTCCACTTATTTATACATTCATTGTTTGATTCTTGTATGCGCCCTGACCCACAATCGAACCCTTGGTGCATCAGGACGAGACTCCAACCAAATGAGCTACCTGGCTAGGGTTAATAATCACATTTTACATATCAGCAGTATTTTCTCTTTTAAAAAGAGTTTTCTTTGCAGTTAGAATTCCTTTTATTTCTTATGGAAGAATTTTGTTTTAAGTTCTAAACTTTTCTGTCCTATCTACCATTAACTTCCATAATTATAAGACAGGACCAAAAAAAGTTAAGAAGCAATATATGTTTCCAGTGATACTATTTAATAAGTTACTTTCTCTAAAAAGTAATATAAACAAATTTTAGACAGGAAAGAGGGAAGAAAAATACTTATAATCCCACTATACTAAAATATCTCCTCCTAGCATCGTGGTCTTTATCCCTCCAAGTCTTTTTTCATATACATATTTGTATTACAGAGCTATAATCTTTCTAAACTGAAAATTTTGCATCTCAGTTTTTTATTCAATATTTTATTATACGCATTTTCAGTGTTACTTTATAATCTCAAAGCTTATCAGTTTAAAAATTTATTTAATAATCCATTGATTATATCATAATTTACATTATATTCTAATGTTAGAAAGTTACTTTTCTAAATATTTAGTGATGCAGACATATTCACTGTAAATTAGTTTAGAAGTTTAGTACAAAGTATCTTAATTATTTATCACAATATATTCTTAGGAACGAGTTGTAAAAAAAGATTTCCGTTTATTAGATCATATTGCAGCGTGGTGAGGTTATAATTGATTTAACCATATGCCAAGTCACAGTACCTCTTAAGTCACTTAGAAGACTTCAGTGACACTTCCAGTCCAATAAAATGGGTATAAATGCATTGTACCCATTCCTTATATGCAGCACCAAAAATCAACTCTATTGCATCGTGAATTTATTACATTTTAGCCTACAATAAAAGAGTTAAAGTCTTTGCTTATTTTCTTAGACTTTAAAAGGGCCTTAAGCAATAATTTAAATAGCTTAAGTCTCTTTTAAAACAAAACAGGGAAAAAAGTCCAATTAAGCTTATACTGATACTTTCTTCGTTAAATTATCCTATAGAAAAGAGTAACCATTTAAAATTATTCAATTGGCTTTAGACCTGGGTTCAGAAATAATCTTACTTTCTTTTTTTAATACCAGGTGTTTTTTGCCTCTCCCATTAGCAGTGAGTGGGCTAGGACACAGGTAGAACTATTTAGTGAGTTTAAGACAAAAACTGAATGTAGCTATCTTATATTAGGCAGCCTAATATAAGGGAGCGGCCAAACAAAGAAAACTGTCATTTGTCTCCCTTATGATATAATCTTAGAACTGAGAGCAGTTTGTTTGACCTTAATAAACTAAATCAATCTCAGGTTTAGCAGTCTTCTTTTTTGGTTTTTTTTTTTTACTTTCAAGTATTAAGCAAATATAGCTTCTATTGGTTTAAAAGTTATATAATTCTCTCATAGAAAGTTCTTGTCTAACTTCAGGTAGAGAAAATTTTCTCTTAGTCTTAAACATGGAATCTAAGGCTGTGAGAACTTTTTGTTCCCTCAAGGAGCAAGCCTTCTATCTTGTATTGGTTTATCTACGAGACATAAAAGAAATGGCACATGAATTTAGTTTTACCTAAGTCTTACATTTATCACTCTGTAACTCTGCTGGAGTATGGAACAACATTGATCCTACTTTTTTCCCATTTTTAAATAGTCTTAGCAATATTATAATCAAAGTGCATTATTTCTGGAAAATTTATATTGTACAGTACATTTAGTTTATCACAGAACCCATCTGTAGAGTCCTTATTGGTGAAGATCATCTCATCTGTTGTATCATCCCATTTACTTGCTTTATAATTTTGCTTCTGGCTTCCATTTATGATATTTATCCTGACCTTGGAGTCTCAATGGTTTGTGTGGTTGTTTTGTCCTGTTTTTCTCCCTTTTTTCCTTGGGTTCCTGATCTGCTCCCTTGCTGGTCTTGGGGGGGGTCTCAATGAGGGTTTCTTCCCTTTGTTCTATATTCACCAATAATTTTCTCTACACCAGTCTATGGAAATGGAGAATAGTATTTAAACACCTTTAGTTTCACCATCGTTATTAGTAACTTAGTTTTAACTTCAATATTAGAAATTCTTTATTAACCTTTTTAAATGATTTTTTTAAATATTCTACTGAATGAAGATATCATTTATATAAAAATTTTTTGTATCATTTAGATTTCAAGTTGGTTCCAGTTTTCACTGTTAAAAATGTGGTAATGTATATATTGAATTTGCAGTAAAATGCATTTTTAAATGTGATGGTGAATATCTTTGTGCATAAAACTTTTGAGTTTTCTCATTATTTTCTAAAGAGAGTTCTCAGAAGTAGGTCTAAGAATATAAGTGTTTTTAAAGCTTTTGTTACACATTGTCAAGTTGCTTTCCAAAAGAATCCTTCCACCTTACATTGCCACCCACCATGCACAAAATTCCTATTGCTCCTGTCCAAGATCCATATGATTTTGTTGTTGTTTATTTGATAAACAAAATAGTATATCTCTTTGTTAAATTTTTATCCTTCGGGGCTGCTGGGAAGGTTGAAGGTTTTTCCATATATAGGCATACCTCATTTTATTGCGCTTTGCTTTATTGCACTTCACAGAAGTTGCATTTTTACTGATTAAAGACAGACTCGCTTTATTGCAGTGTTCCTTTATTGCAGTGCTCCTTTATTGGGGTGTCTGGAACTGAGCCTGCAGTATCTTTGAGATATGCCTGTATTTGTGAACATTCTTTTGTGAGTTGTTTATAGTCTCTTCTCATTTACCTATTTGGATATTAGTGTTAATAATCCTAAGAATAAATAATAAAGTTGATAGCCATTTTAAATAAGCCTACAAATGGAAGAAATAGACATTAACTCAGTTAAAAAGATAAAATGGAGAATAAGCTTCAGAAAGATAGATGAGAATATTTCAGAAATAAAATGCAAATATATTCATTTACTTGAGACATAGGATAGTGAAAAACTAATTGGACTGAAATTCTGTAGTGTTAGAGTAATATCTTGTTCTGTCACTAGCTGACTTCTTGTAGGACATACAGCTAAATATTTAACTTCTCTTATTTGTAAAGGAAAAATACTATTATCCCCTAATTGCCTGGGCTGGGAGGCAGTAGTGGTAATGGTGATAGTAGCAGGAAAGATTTTACCACAGAGAATGGAAAAGGGGGAGAGGATAAGTTAGTTTTCTCAGAAACGACTGTGACCGGATGAGTTGGGGATTGGTGCTTACACAGCTAACACAGGAAGGAACAGGGACCACCCTTCCCTCTCTACCTCCTACTTCATCCCTCCAAACACATAATGCAATACTGTTTATATAGACATAAATTTCCTCAAGACAGAATTACATTCTAGATGCATTTTTATGGTTGAGATGGGGGTTTTTTAACTTAGGGTATGTTGTTTAAAATTTTATATAGCATTATCTAGTCTCATTTTTAAAAATACATCATTTACAGAACACTATTCTATACTTCAAAGAGGTGAAAGATAAAATAACTCATGGGATTTGAACCTGTGATTTCACAGATTCTATTTTGAAGCTGCTTTTCTGCCATCAAGCTCTCCTCTGGCTAAGAACATATTTTAAATACTGAAAAAAACTATATGCAAATGAGCTGATAGCCAGGTGGTTGGTTCTGTAGTAAGCATATCATAAGGGCGAGTTGGGTGCTTACATCCTTAAGCCTGTTTGAAAAGTATGTTTGGTGACAAATCCTTTTCTGTTTCCCAAAAGACATTCCTTTTAATCTTTAGTTAGAAAATTTTAAATGTTAACTGTATTCACTAAGATGTGCCCTTAAAAAAAAATAGTACTATTATGTATTCCATGATTATTCACATGGTTTGTAAGCCATAGACTGATTAGCTATCTAGCTCTCTTTCGTGAATTTGCTAGATATTAAAACTGCTCTTACCAAACATTTATTATACCAGCACCCCTCACTTAAAAAAAACTGATTTAATATAGACTTTTTCCCCTTAAGTTTCTGTAAGCCGCTGAAGACCACATTTATATGTAGCCATATACTCTGTGTCTAGTTGAAGGAGTGTATTCATATGCTAGTTGATATCCTTAATTACTTCTCTTACCAAGGAAATATAAATAATGATTTATGAAGTAGAAATATATTTAAAATTGGGAGGGCAGACTGTCTTTACTGAGAATGGGATTTTCAAAATAATAGCTAGATTTTATGTAATTCTTCTTATCCTTTTTTAATTATTTAATAGTTTATATAACTTGATAAACTAAGCCATGTATTATCTGTTACCAAAAAGAAAAAGTTTCTAAGCTTCTGAATGTACGATGTTTGTGTATTTTTAAGCTCTTCCAAAATTTAGAACTACAGTTGGATATTTTGGCCAGAAAGGATCTTAATAATAATATAATGTCAGTGTGCTAGTTTCATCCCATAAGATACTTCTTATTCTGCTGCAGTCATTTGTGGTCCAGCTGAGATTTGGGTTAATTGTTCTGAATAGAAACAGCTCAGGAAAGGATTGGTCCTAAGTTAAGGAGAGTATTTTCGACATTCAGAGAAAATGTCAGGTGACTATATTTGTATAGAATTAAAATGAATTGTAAATGGCAAAAAATGGAGTCAGTAATTTGTACTTTTTTCCTTTCAGGTTATGCATTGGATCCTTCATTAGATAATCAAGTGACTACTAAATATATTGGTTCTGTAGAGGAAGCTGAAAAAAATCAAGGTAATTTATTTGATATTATATATACCTATAAATACCATCTGGCAGATTGACTTTAGACAGTAGGAATAAAACTGGTATTTTATTTAGCTCTTGGTTTTTTAAGTTGAGGCAATAGTGTTGCAGTTTAGAACTATTAAACAGTTTCAGAGCTTACTTTTGCCACTTACTGGATGTGCAACCTTGTAGGGAAGATAGTTGGACCTATTTTGAGGAGGTGTTATGAGTACTTGGCACATTGCCAACCTCGTAGAAATTATTCAGTAAATTGTAATTAATGTATAGCTGATTTTAGCAGTTTTTTTTCTCAACACTAATGTCAGGCTGCGTTTAACACAGGAGGAAAAACTTCACTGTGCATGTCTCTGGAGATGTCTTTGAAGGGTTGCCTTGAATGCTGAGTTTTCAAATGTGTTTTGAAATACGTTTGTGCTCATGTTCATGTTGTGTTTGTTAGCATAAGGCAAAGTGTCGTATTCTAAATGCTAATTTGAACAAAGCTCATCAGCCCATTGGAATCTTTTTCATAAGATGCTTATTAAAAACAGAATGTGCTATTTGTACAAGGACACTTAGTAGCTACAGACCCTATGTGATCAAGCCATCCTTGGTGTATAAGATAGATTATTGTAAAATAGAATTTTAAAAAGCTTCTATTATAACACACAGCCTAAAGGAAACTGATTTCAATTAATATAGGTAAGCTTTTTTTTTTTAAGTTGGACCTCTGCAAGCCACATATTTATGTAGTTAGATTCTCAGTTAACAGTTAAATTGTGATTATGACTCCCATGTACCATTTTTCCCCCAATTTAACAACTACGCACAGTATGCCCCCTTCTACTGATCAGATCCAAATCCAGAAACATCCTCTTTCTTCTTTTCCCTCTTACTGCTAAGATTTATGATATTAAAGGTCAAGTTTGGATTGAGATCACTTAGAAGAAATACCAGATTCTTGTGTAACTTTGTCTAATTTATATTGTTGCATTTCAAGTAAACAAAGTTATTAATCACTTAATGTAATTTAATCAAATTAAGTTTTTAAGTGATAAGTTTAGGTTATTCTTGCTTTCAAAGGTAGCTTTATTACTAAATATTTAACAATATTAAATTGCTAATTTTCTTTCAAAAAGTGGTAAAATCCACTGATGTAGGTCTATGATTCATTAAAAGGATTGTGTACTATTACAGGATTACATAGCTGGTCTTTTTTTTTTTTTTTTAAATATGTCTTTATTGATTTCAGAGAGAAGAAAGGAGAGGAGAGAGGGAGAGAGAGAGATAGTAACATCAATGATGAGAGTCATTGATCTGCTGCCTCCTACACGCCCCCGACTGGGGATCGAGCCCACGACTCGAGCATGTGCCCTGACTGGGAATCGAACCTCTGTCTCCTGGACCATAGGTTGATGCTCAGCTGCTGAGCCACACTGGCCAGGCTAGCTGGTCTTTTCTTTACACATATTAGAATTGGCAAAATATTACAGTGATAGAAAATTTTTTTGCCCAAAACGTTGAATCCCTTTTCGTATAACATGACTTGGTATATCTGGCATATTCATACAGGTTTTATTTTTTGTTTTTTAATAGATTTTTGGTTACATGAACAATATAAAGTAAAATTACATATATGCTGCTGTTTCTTTAGAATAAAATCTATATTTGTGATGTCTGTTTTTTTAAATGTAGGTTTAACTGTGTTTGAAACTGGTCAGAAGAAAATAGAAAAGAGGAAAAAGTTCAAAGAAAATGATGCATCAAACATTGATGGTTTCTTGGGACCGTGGGCGAAATATGTGGATGAAAAAGATGTAGCCAAACCTTCAGAAGTAAGCTCTGATGTTTTTCACTGTCAGCTAGGTGCATGCTGTATCGCTATGAAGGATGCCTGTATTAGTAAACTTGAGGTTTCCTTAGAGAACCAAATGACTCATCAAAATGTCTCTGCCTTGAGAAAATACAGTAAAATTTCTTTAGACTATTTTTACTTACATTTTTTCTGACTTATTTTCTTCCATACTTTTTTATTATAATTCAGTATTGAACAATTTTTAATGAAAAGGGCCTTGATAATGCTATTAAGCTGCCATGGTAGCTGCTCTTCTAATACCAGATATTCAGGTAGTAACTAAAGAATCAACCTTTCTATGATTTTAGAATTGATGTGGGTTTTATTTATTTATTAATTTATTTATTTAAAATTTTTAACAAAGTAATATATATTGTGGGTTTTTTTAAATTCTATGAAGTAAAGCTATAGATCCTTACCCCATTTCTCCCCACCTCCTAATTTCACTGTCTCTATGAGCCAGTGCTCTTCTCGGTCTGAGTGATACAGCAGTGGACAAGATCAAGAAAACCCTATTCTCATGAAGTTTATATTCTAGCTATATCTCACATCCAATAACATGCATATTATTATATTATATTGATATATCTCAGTAATCTACATATGCTGCTATTTATTTATTTTAGACATCATCTGTTGACTTCTTTGTTATTATAAATAAAGATTTTCTACGTCCCCATTTTTCGTTTCACTGCTTCTTCCATAAAAGTTGTGTCACAAATCTATTGACATTGTTTCTATTCTTATGACTGTGTAAAAGCTGTTTACTGAAGAACAACACTGTGTACTAAAATTCAGTTTCCTGCCTGGTACTAGATTTTCCAATCACATTGTCCTTTCACTTGCATAATTAGCATAATATGTTAAATTTATTTCTAGGTGTTCCAGCAGGATGGGTTTTGTATAAAATGAACTTAAAATTATTAACTAGCATCCATTATGTACTTAATATCATTTTGTAATCTGTTGAAAAGTTGAGATTATTTTCCTGGGAGACATATTTGAAGCTATTGATTCAGCAAAAGTGGACCTCATTATAAAGAATTTATAACATTCTTTGGTCATGATAGGACTCTAGAACATCTGTTTTAAAGTTCATTCCTCACTTTCCTCAGGAAGAACAAAAAGAATTGGATGAAATCACAGCAAAGAGGCAGAAAAAAGGCAAACTGGAAGAAGAGAAACCTGGGGAGGAAAAGACAATCTTACATGGTAATATTTTTTTTTTTTAATGCTTCTTCATTTTTATGATAAACTTTCAGATATTTACTCTGTTCTTTGTTCATATAATATCCATTGCCCTTATTAATCAGCTGCTTCAGTTCATTATATTAAGAACTATGTGGGACAGTTTGCATCCCAGAAAAATTAAAACAAACACCGTTATGTTCTAACAGATGAAAGGAAATAGCATGATTAATAATAGCTGCAAATAATTTTTTTAGTGCTGATGAATTTTTAAAATGCTCAAGAAGAAATCCAAATGTTCCACATGTGCTTTCCTGAGATAAAGTTGACTCTTTTTGGTGTGTCAGTAATGCCCCAGTCATTTTAACCTTTTGTTTTTAACCCAAATCAAATATTCTCTAGGTCTACTCACAGTTACTAAATTATACTTTAAAAGAATTAAGTCTGTTTTCATGTGAACAGATTGAAGATTAAGACTGTCATGCTCATTTTGATTTGTGGGAGGAAATATATATGTACACCAGAATAAATTATAAATATTCTAGAAAGTACCTGGTTATATTTTGAAAAGTATGTAGTGGTTATCTGAACTGTAAAGAATAATTCAGTACTGATAGTATTGATTATTCTAATGTTACATCACATATCAATATTTAGGTTTGATGAAGCCGTATTTGGTTTCTCAAGCTCCAGTTTTTATCTGTAAGGAATCCATTTAGTACTGTGGTGCTACAGCTGTAATAACAATAACAGCCACCATTTATTTAGTACTTACGCTGTGCCAAGCATGCTACCAAATGCTTTATATAGACTGTGTTTTAATTCCTACAAGTGACTTGATTGTAAAATCTGTGTTGAAAGTAGAAAAGAGAATGGAAAAGGAACCTGGAAGGGCAGAAGAGAGGAAACCAGGGAGAAAGGATAGCTGAGATGTTTTTGTTTTATCTTCCTTCTTATCCTGTTTTGCTTCTGGTTCTTTGCCAGTGACTCATAAGGCCCAAGTATTATTTTTCCTCTCCTCGCTATAATCATACTGTAGTAAAGTCTTTTTCATATATCACTAAAATCTGTAATTGAGTAAAAGAAGTATAGATCCTACTTAGAGGTCTAATATTCTCTGGGTATTTAGGAATTCCAAAATACTACCTCTAACTATAAATAATAGCAAACAGATTTCAGGCAGCTAAATTTTAGCTAGTCTTGGCCTTACATCAGAGTGTTATTACCTAAACCTTAATGTGGAATAATATCTTTATAAATAAATGGTTATCATTTTAAGGATATAGATTTCATGGCTATGGTTTGTATTTGCTCATTGCCTTTCCTTTGCCTTCTTGTTTCAGTTAAAGAAATGTATGACTATCAAGGCAGATCCTATCTTCACATACCTCAGGATGTTGGTGTTAATCTGCGGTCAGCCGTGCCACCTGAGAAGTGTTATCTTCCAAAAAAACAAATTCACGTGTGGTCCGGACACACAAAAGTAAGCAAATTGATTGTTTTTGTTTGTTGTAATGCATAATAGTGAAGTCTTTTTCATATATCAACATAAAGTTTCAGCTATTGATGTGGAACAATTCACTATTTCTTGTAAATGTAGGGAAGTCAAGATAGAGCAGGGAAGTCAAATTGAAGAAAAACCTAAGTTAGGCTGTGGAGGTGCCTACACGTTTCAGTCACAAGTGATGACTCAGTCTTTAAGGTCATCTGGATTGGCCACGGCACAAATTCTTAGTACCTTATGGTAGCCCTGGCCTTTGCCTCCTAGTTTCTGCCACAGTTTGCTTCCTCTTTGGCACCAAATCAGTGAGTGATGGGCTCGTACTAGCACTAAAGCCTTACTTTTGCTTTAGCTCTTGAGGTTATCACCCTTCAAAGAAGATTAGATGTTCTCTGGTTTATAAACTGTGATAATATTTAAACTAATTAAGAGACAAGATACTTGACAACTTTTAATGTTGATAATCTTTGTCATCTGTGCTATTCCAAGTAGCAATTTACAGCTCTTAGCAAAGAGCAAAGGGACTGAGTGAAAGAAGGGAGAGGAGTGGGGGTATTAGCAACTTGATTGACTAAGAATTCCCTTGGGTGAGGAAGTCAATATTAAAGGTCAAAAAAACAAATCTTTAGAAGTGCTCTTGGAATGCTAATGAAGATTATCCTGGGGTATAATTTTTAGAATGAAGAAAAATAGTAAAAACTAGGTTGCTTAAAAATATACTGTCCTTTCCTTATGTTTAATTTTAGCTGATTTTGGAATGTGTCTGATTGATAACTATAATACCTCTTTATAGGGTGTCAGTGCCGTCAGATTGTTTCCTCTCTCTGGCCATTTATTGCTGTCTTGTTCCATGGACTGTAAAATTAAGGTGAGTTTTCAGTAACAGAGTAGGAGTGCTGCAAAGCTAATGCTTTGGTTAAATCTGTTTGGTTAATTATAGATAAATTTGGGTTTGTTAAGCAATTAGAGACTAATTATTTTCTGTTAGGCCTTGTGAATGCAGCAATTTATTAACTGCTACCAAACATGTTGATTCAGATTTGGCTCTATGGTCCAGTTCGCTGGGCTCTTTTATAAGCTTAGATAACTGATTAGAATTTAATCAATCACTTTGGCTTTAGACACATAAATGTTTAATCATTAACAATACATTTTTATAGAGGTTTTTGTATATGTAACTAAGTTCATTTGTTCTCAGATGAAGACACAAGATAGAAATCCTATTTCTAGAGAGTAAATAGTGCAATTCATCCCTTTTCTTATAAATGCTAGACACCAAGGAATACTCCTTAAATCTAATAGAATAGTTCTTATCTCTTTTGTGTCTTGTGTGTCTGGTGCATTATGATGATCAATAAATATCAACCCTATAGTTCTCTTGGGGCTTGGAAAGTTTTTGTGTCTTTTTATTTTTATTAATTGATTTGAGAGAGAGAGGGGCAGGGAGAGAGAGAGAAACATCGATTTGTTGTTCCACTCATTTATGCATTCATTGCTTTTTATATGTGTCCTGACCAGAGATCCAACGTATAACTTTGGCATATTGGGATGACACTCTACCAACTGAGTTATCTGGCCAGAGCCAAGGCATGGAAAGTTGAATCATTAAAATTTTATTCTTTGAAAATAATTTATGGATATTAACAATATCCATAAAGGCAGATTTATTTTTTAAGTTATTTTTTAATGGAAGCAACCATTTTGGCACTTGTCTATACATAGTAGCTTAAAATAGCAGTCCAACAGTTTGGAGTAAAAAACCCTTATCTCCTTTAACTTTTACTTCATAAAAACTATGTTAATTGAGATTAAGGTTTTCTCTTTGACCAATTAAAAAGGCACAGAATACCATTTATATCACTTCTATAAACATTCATTATGCACTTGTTATGTGCAAGAGGCTGAGAATAAAAAATTATTAAGGCATTATCTCTGCCCGTAGGATGAACATTTCATTATGATTTTAGTGATCATTATGGAGTCAGACACAAAGTGTCCTGGTTTCAAAGAGGAAGCATACCTCAGTAGGAAGGAACTAGGTAAAGGAAGGCATAGGGCATAGACTATGTCTGAGAAGAGTGAATAGAATGAATCAGCATGGTGTGTACTGAAAACTAGTTTCATGGTTGCTGGAGCCTAAAATCTGACACAGAATGACTACTGTAGTCATAAGCAAAGGACCAGGTCCTGGAGGTCCCTGCCTGGTATGCTGTGGGCACTGAGACTGTATCCTCTTGACGCCCAGTGGCCAGGAAGTGCTTTCTATTTTAGAGGATTAGCAACACTTTCAAGAATTGGATTTGATGCAGGCAGGAATAAAGTTACTTTTGAAGCTATTGTGTTAATTCACTTCAGATGTGATAAGAATTATGAGCCTGTTACATTTTATCATATTCATAATATAGCTTCTGTAATACTTGTTACTTCAGAAAAGTTGAAAAAACACCTTTCAATACCAAAATGTTATAGACATGACAGTTTTAATAACGTTTAATTCTTTTAAAAGTAGTTCATGGTATTACATAAGTAGAAACTTTTTTTTCATAGTAAATACAGAAAAGAACAAGAAGAAAACAAAAATCACCTGTACGAGCTCCAAGTTCTGGTGATATTTTGATATACCTTTCAGTATCTAATTTCAAAGTTTAGTTTTAAAATGTATGTGTGTGGGAGTGGGAGTCCATGAGTCCAAATAGTATAACACAGACTAGAAGCCCCAAGCAGTATATTTAATGATGTATAATGCCTTTGGTTAAGTCCCCTGGACACACACAGAGCCAGCATATGGCTGTTGTTACTGATTGAAAGTTGTAATTTTATCAAAGTCTAGTATTAAATTTAATACTTATTTGTGTTGTTTTTTTCCCCAGCTATGGGAGGTTTATGGAGACAGGCGCTGTCTGCGAACATTTATTGGTAATACTTTTCTCCCTGACTATAAATCTGTTTGGAAAGGCTTTTTAATCTTTTTCTCATTATTTACCATAATTTTACTGCACTAATATGAATGAAAATCTTGACACACCTGAGCTGAGTCTTGAGGAAGGAATAAGTCCTCTCACATAGACAAAGAAAGGGAACCAGGAAGAACAAGCAGCAGAAGTGGTGTGAGAAAGCATGCTGCTTTGGGGGAACCACATATATTAGAGTTGTCAGGGTGTGGGGTGATATGGTGAGAAATGAGAATGAGAAAGGCAGCAGAAGATGGGGCAGAGTATGGAGGGCCATGTGAATCCTTAAAAAGAAGTTTAGACTCTATCCTGAGGGCTTTGGGAAGTCAGACATTAAACAGCTCTTGGAAGAAAGCAACATGATCAAGTTTGAAGTTTACAGAGATCACAATGGCGATATGGAGGATGCTTTGATGGAGCAGGCCTGGAGGCAAGGAAATGAATCACAAGGTTATTTCTTTAGTCTGGATTAGAGATGGTAAGAACCTGAACTAAAGCAGTAGAGACAGAGAGGAAAGAATTAATCAAGAGTTAAGATCTATGGGACTTAGTAACTGGATGTGAGTGATTAGAGTAAGGCAGGAATCTAGGGTGGCTCCCAGATGACACCAGGATGGATGCTGGTGTCAGTCACCAAGAGAGGGAGCAGAAGAGTATGCTGAGGCTTTAGACTTGTTGAAATTGAGCTGCCCTTGGGGTTTTGAGATTTTGAAAATGTCTAGTAAACAATTAGATAGCCAGAAGTTAAACTTTGAGTAGAGGTTGGGAATTGGTATCTAATGCATAAAAAAGGGTGAGATTGGGAGAACTCCTTGAAGCAAAGAAGAGGGCCAAAGGGAGGACAGCTTTGTGGCAGACTAGCCCTTTTGGTGGAGAATAGTTTATTGTCTTTGTCATGTTGTGTGAAGGCTAGTTACGTCTCCAAATTTAACTATTGCTTTAAACACTGTATGTGTGGATCTTAGTGGCTGTTTTTAGGTTGAAGTGGGAGTATGTTCTGCAGTGCTGTATGATTTTAGGGCCTCAATGCAGAAATAAATACTGCACAAGATGCATAGCAGCCTAAAGAAAGATTCATAGGAAGGCTGTCGGCAGCATACAGGGGAACAGAATGTCTCCTGCAGGTGTAGTGGATTTGGTCCACATTTGTCTCCCCTGCACTGGCAGACAGTTTTTCAGTGGAAAACTGAAAATTTCCTACTTAGGAAGATGCTAGCAGCTCTGACTGGGACTCCTGCTATAGACAAGATACCTGATTGCCTAACTGCCGTGATGCATAGTGCCTCACGAGAGTGCGTTGGTGGTGGTGGTTCGGGGCTACTGTGTGTGGTTGGCAATTTGTGCCAAGCACATTTTGCACTAATGTATTTGGCAGTCTTGGTCATGGTGGGGTGGTAAAAAATAGGAAAGTTTCTGCTTTCATGTAGTCATGTTTTATTTGTCCCTGTTGATTGGTCTAGCAAGATTGATTTCCAAACAAAGTACCTTAAAATTAATTTATTGTCAAAATGCCATCTTAAAACAAAATAGAAGTTAATATTTGTTTTCAAAAAGGCTTAGTGTCAGATTCTGAAGTCATTTCTATGAAATTTGGTAATGGGATCCCACAAATATGCAATTATTAAATAAGGGTTACAATTTTCATGAACTTGAGGTTTAAGTCACACTGTTTTTTTTCCAGCTTAGTGAGTAATCTGAGAGTGAACCTCCAAAATGTCACCAATCATTTCTCTTTCATTGTCAATAATTGGCCTATTATGTTTCCTTTCTTAGCTGCTTAGTCATCAGTTGTATATATTACATGTTAAGAGGTTGCCATGACAGGCTTTAAAAAAGTGTTAGATCTTTTCTCTTGGTTCTTACCTAAATGTTATGCATCAAAATCACCTGTGGAGCTTTTTGAAGGGGGTTGGGGGGAACCACCTACATTCCCAAGCCCACATAAAACCTATTCTGAGTTTAAATCAAGGAATGAGGTTCCAGTGATTTTTTCACTCACAGATGGCTTGGAAAACAGTTTAATGTTGTTTTTCTTAAGGTGGTTATGTTTTAAATAAAGATACTTCACCTTCCCTACATTTCTGTTGTCTCTGCCTATAGGTCACAGTAAAGCTGTTAGGGACATCTGCTTTAATACTGCAGGAACACAGTTCCTCAGTGCAGCTTATGACAGGTATCTTAAGCTCTGGGACACTGAGACAGGTAAGAGCTCCCTTATACTAATAGATACTTATCTTATAAATTAGCATTTTTAAATGAAACGTGTGAGAGAGAGAGAGAGAGTGTGTGTGTGTGTGTGTGTGTGTGTGTGTGTGTGGTCTTCTGTGGCAAAATGGTACCTTCTCTAACTGCTAATTCTCCTATCATTGACTATCAGCCTATACCACACTTATTAGTAGAGTTGAAACCCAGCTATATAAGTAGCTCTTTCACTATGAAATTTTGTTTCCACCAAACACAATTAATAAAGCAAACATATTGATAGACGAGGACATTTGAAATCTTCCATAGACTTTTTGATTGATATTTTTGTTCCCCTGTATCACCTAGCACATGGCCTTGTACATAATAGAAGCACAGTAGATGGTTGATGAACAGAATTAAATTTAATTGCCCAAATTGATTAAAATGTAGGTCTAAACTTCCATGGTCCAGTTGGTTTTATGTTCACAGACATGAATTACATCAGTACAGTGTGGCTAGTATAAATTTATGTAATTAAAGAACTATCTTTCAATTTTGCTGAGGTTTAGGGGAAAAGATAATAGCTGATATTGAACACTGTGTTTACCAGGCATTATGCTAAGTGTTTATATTCAGTATCTCACTTAATCTTTAAAATATCCCTGTGAGATAAGTACTACTGTTATAGAGGAGAAAACGGAAGCTTACAGAAGTAACTTTTTCAGGACACAGCTAGTAAGTTGGCCAAATTGGATTCATACTAAGGTCTCTCTAATGCCAAAGCCGCACTTTTAACCTTTTCAGCAGTGGTCCTCAACTCTGGCTGCACGTCATAATCACCTGGAGACATTTCTCTATTTTGCAGTTGACAACGCAGATTTACTTTTGAAAAAAATATTTTTAATCATTAAAAATCCATGAAAAAGAACGATGTCGTTTACAATAAAGAGCAATCAGCTCCCTGTCCTCAGAATTTATCAAGCAAATAATCTCTAGATCTTAATCCCAGGGTTATCTTTAAGTGGTCAAATTTATTTTGCCTATTTTAACTTGGGTCTTTGGTTTTAGGACAGTGTATATCAAGATTTACAAACCGAAAAGTACCCTATTGTGTCAAATTTAATCCTGATGAAGATAAGCAAAATCTCTTTGTGGCTGGAATGTCTGATAAAAAGATTGTGCAAGTAAGTATTTTCACAGTATTTTTTATTAAGATTCCTGAGCTTTGTGTTACATCAGGGAATGGAATAAGGACTGTTAACTTATTTAATGTTTGCTATTTTATGGACTGCTGATGCTGTTCTTAGTAGAAAACAGTAAATTCATAAAATCATGATGTTGGGAATCTTTTTCTTTCTCCACTTTCCATAATTATGAAATTTGATTGTTTTCATAAATCTCCACTTCTTTCTTTACCTCCTCGTGTTTGCTATACAGTGGGACATTCGAAGTGGAGAGATTGTGCAGGAGTATGATCGGCATTTGGGAGCTGTCAACACCATTGTTTTTGTTGATGAGAACAGGAGATTTGTCAGTACATCTGATGATAAGAGCCTAAGAGTTTGGGAATGGTGAGTTTCTGTCAGTGTAAAATCTGATTATATAAAGCAGGCAATTTATAACTATTTAAGTATCGAGAATATGGAAATGAAAATTTAAACATGCTACTGTTCCCAGTCTGGATAATCTGTCTAAGGGATACGTACTTTGAGTGATTTTTCTGGCCACAGGAAGTGTGTGCAGTGCAGCCTGACACCCTTTATTAGCTGTCCTACTCACCTTCGCACGGTGGCTGAGGAGCACTAGGGGCCACAGATATGTAGATGATGTAGGTTATGCTGGAGTTTGAGCATAAGGTTCTGGCCTAAGAAAATATTGAAAAATCTCTTAATTTTTTTAATGTCTACATTTTGACTATTTAATACTGAAAATTGCCCCATGTCATCTCCCTTGTGTCCTGCCACTTAGAGTCCATATGGTAGAAAACAAATGTTTTACCTGGAGAATGTAATCAGAGTATATAGGATGGAACAAAAGTAGGTTTACAGGTTTTTGTATGGGAAATAATGCAATAATAAATAATAATATAAGCATAAACTCTGTGTTTCTCATACTCACTGTTGTAAACCTACACTTGCCCCACCCTGTATGGGTTAATTTTGCTTTGAGGGGGAGCTTTTCTAAAGTCAAGAAATGCTAAAAACTAATGTCACTATCATAGATCATGTTTTATAATTTATTTCCAAAGAAATGCATAATCTTGATAAAATGAATTTTTGTATGGAACCCAGCTTGTTTTTATAGCCAGTTATGAAGTACAGCTAACCATGGTTATATACAGCTTTGTAAGGAGTATGTCTTCCCACCTCCAGAAGTTGTTCTGCTTTAAGAAGTAGGAAGCCTTGAACTACAGCCAGAAGTTTCCTTCTGAAATTTAGTCTCTTCAGGGAGCTGAGAAGGTCCCTAACCATTTCAGGGCAGTTTGGGTAATTGAAAATTTAATGTAATTTAGCTGCAGTTTCTCCCACACTCACCACCAGTACACCCTTCCAAATTACCTCCAATAAAGGAAGAGTCGACTATTCTTTACATATAGTCTTAACATCATCCTTAGGGTCCATGATTTGAGACTATCTTATAACTAAGATCTGCCCTACTTCAGAAATGAGGTTACCTTCCAAGAATTGGACATGAACACCAAGTTTTATATGAGTCACCTAAGACCATTTGCACAATACTCTGGAGAATAAACATCCATAAACTTGGTTTTTGTTAGTAGACTTTAACAGTTTAGCTATACTTACATTTTCAGATGCTTCTATCTTCAGATAATATTTCAGTTCCATTTTTAAAATGTGCAGTGATATAAAAGAAATTGGTAAATATTTAAATAGTGCACCAGTCACAAGGCCTTAAAGATACTGTGTCTCTTTTCTAAATTAGAGCATTGGTCAGCAAAATATTTTGATTAAGTTAAGAAGTGATGTTAACAGGCTTTTTTTTTTCTTAAATACTCAGAGCTTAAATACTCCCAAGAGCCATAATATTATTTGATTATAAATGATGATATTCTTTAGATTTCAGTTGAATGCTCACTTGCTGTTGGAGCTTTCCTAACCAATCCTCACATGAGTTTGGTGCCTGTTCACTATCATCCCACTAGCTTTTTAGTGCTTCCCATAGCTTTTTAGTGCTTGCTTATTTGTTCCTTTCCCTCACAAGTTCTTAACCATGAGAAAAGACCTGTGTCTGCTCTCCATCTGTCCCCAGCAGCAGCACAATGCCTCGCACGTAGTATGTACTGAATATCTAAGGAAATCATTGTTTCCTAATTACTAATTTTTTTTTCCAGCTTCACTGAGGTATAATTGACAAATAAAATTATAATATATTTAAAGTGTATAACCTAATGATTTAATACACATTGTGAAAGGATTCCTATTAATTAATTAACATATCCATCACCTCCATATTTACCTTTTGTTGTTTGGTGAGAACACCTAGGTTCTACTCTAAGAAAATTTATATTATGCAATATAGTATTGACTATAGTCACCATGTTGTACATAAGATCCTCAGCCTTTAATTCATCTTATAACTAAAAGTTTGTACCTCTTTTAGTTTGTATCCTCAGCTTTCTTCCCTATCCTCTCAGCCTCTGGGAGCCACTATTCTACTCTCTGCTTCTATGAGTTTGACTTTTTTTTTTTGTTAAAGAATGCACATATAAGTGATAGCATGCAGTATTTGTCTTTCTCTGTCCAGCTTATTTCAAATTAGTGTAATGCCCTCCAGGTTCATCTATGTTGTCACAAATGGCAGGATTTCCTTCTTTTTTAAGGTTCGATAATATTCTATTGTATATATAAGTGCCACATTTTCTTTATCCGTTGACAGAGACTTAGGTTGTTTCCATACCTTGGCTATTGTGAATAATGCTGCATTGAACGTGGGACTACAAATTATCTCTTTGATGTAGTGATTTCACTTCCTTTGGATATATACCCAGAAGGAGGGTTGATAGATCATATAGTAGTTCTATTTTTAATTTCTTGAGGTGCCTCCGTACTGTTTTTCATAGTGGCTGTGCCAGTTTACATTCCCACCAATGATGTACAAGGGTTCCTTTCTCTCCACATCCTCACCAACATTTGTTAACTCTTGTCTTTTAGATATTAGCCATCCTAACAAGTGTAAGATCATGTCTCATTGTGGTTTTGATATGCATTTTTCTGGTGTTTAGTGGTGTTGAGCACTTTTTCATGTACCTGTTGGATAGTTATATGTTTTCTGTGGGGAAGATGTCTGTTCAGGTCCTTTGCCCATTTTTTAATTGGGTTATTTGTTGTTGGGTTGTTGTTGTTTTTTGCTATTAGTTCTGTGAGTTCCTTGTATATTTTGGATATTGACCTCATAATCAAATATTGGTTTGCAAATATTTTCTCCCATTTCCTAGGTTGGCTTTTTATTCTGTTGGTGGTTTTCTTTGCTGAACAGAAGCTTTTTACTTTGAGGTAGTCCCACTTATTTATTTTTGCTTATGTTGCCTGCTGTAGGTATCAAATCCAAAAAATCATTGCCAAGACCAATGTCAAGGAGCTTATCCCCTATGTTGTCTTCCAGGAGTTTTACAGTTTCAGGTCTTATGTTCAGGTCTTCAATCCATTTTGATCTGATGTAAGACGGGTTCAGTTTCATTCTTCTGCATGTAGATATCAGATTTTCCCAGTACCATTCATTGAAGAGACTGTCCTTTCCCCATTGTATGTTCTGGGCTCCTTTTTTGAAAATTAATTGACTACATACGCATGGGTTTGTTTCTGTAATCTCTGTTCTGTTCCATTTGACCTATGTGTGTCTTTTTATGCCAATACCATATTGTTTTGATTACTGTAGCTTTGTTACATAGTTTGAAATCAGGAAGCATAATATCTCCAGCTTTGTTGTTCTTTTTCAGGATTGCTTTAGAGTCTTTTGTGGTTTCATACAAATTTAAGGATTGTTCTATTTCTCTAAAAAGTGTCATTGGAATTTTGATAGGTATTGCATTGAATCTGTAAATCACTTTGGGTAGTATGGACATTTTAACAATATTCTTTTGATTCATGAGCATGGAATGTCTTACTATTTATTTATGTCTTCTTCAATTTATTTCATCAGTGTTTTATAGTTTTCAGTGTACAGATTTTTTACCACCTTGGTTAAATTTATTCCTAGGTATTTTATTGCTTTTTATGCTATTTTGAATGGGATATTTTTTTAGTTTTTCTTTCCAGTAGTTCATTGGTAGTGTATAGAAATGCAGGTAATTTTTGTATATTGGTTTTGTATCCTGCAGTTTTACTGAATTCATTTATTAGTCCTAACAGTTTTATTGGTGGAGTCTTTAGGGTTTTCTATATATAAGATGTCATCTGCAAACAGAGACAATGTTTTATCTTCCTTTTTTATTTAGATGCCTTTTATTTCTTGTTCTTGCCTTACTGCTCTGGCTTGGACTGCCAACACTATGTTGCATAAAAAAGTGGTAAGAGTGGACAACCTTGTCTTTTTTCCTGATCTTAGAGGAAAAGCTTTCAGCTTTTCACTGTTGAGTATGTTAGCTGTAGCCTTGTTACATATGGATGGGTATGTTCCCTCTATACCCAGTTTGTTGAAGACTTTTTATCATGAAAGGAGGTTGAATTTTGTCAGTTTTTTTTTCTTTCTCCATCTATTGAGATGATCGTATCATTTTTATCCTTCATTTTGTTATAGTGGTGTATCACATATTGATTTGCATGTATTCAAAACTATCATTGCACCCCAGGGAAAAATCCCACGTGGTCATGATGTGTAATATTTTTAATGTGCTGTTGAGTTTGGTTTGCTAATATTTTGTTGAGTATTTTTGTATCTGTGTTCATCAGGGATATTGACCTGTAATATTGACCTCTTAAAATGAATTTGGAAATATTTCCTCTTCTATTTTTTGGAAGAGTTTGAGAAGGATTGATACTAATTGTTCTTTAAATGTTTGGTATAGTTCACTTATGAAGCCATCTGTTCCTGTAATTTTCTGTTGTTGAAAGTTTTTTGATTATTTCATCTCTCCTTAGTTATTATTGATCTGTTCAGATTTTGTTTCTTCACAATTCAATCTTGGTAGGTTGTATGTTTCTAGGAATTTATCTTTTTCTTCTAGGTTATCTAATTTGTTGACATACAATTCTTCTTAGCATTCTTGCAACCCTTAGTGTTTCTATATTAGTTGTAGTGTCTCATTTCTAATTTTTTTATCTTTTGTTTTTTTTCTTAGTCTAGCTAAATTTTTGTCAATTTTAATTTTTTTAAAACTTAGTTTTATTGACCTTTTTTATTATCTTTTTAGTCTGTTTCATTTATTTGCTCTTTAATCTTTGCTATTTCTTTCATTCTGCTAACTTTGGGCCTAGTTTGTTCTTTCTTTAAAAAAGTTTGAGATCTTCTTTCTTAATGTGTTTATCACTTTAAACTTGCCTCTTTGAATTGTTTCTGCTGCATCCCATATTTTTGGCATGTTTTGTTTCTATTTTTAGTTGTCTCAGGACTTTTTTATTTCCATTTTGATTTTTTCTTTGGCCCCTTTTTGGTTAAGTAGCATGTTATTTGTAATTTTCTAGTTTTCTTCTCATTTCTAGTTTCATATCATTGTGCTCAGAAAAGATGCTCGATGTCATTTCAGACTTTTAAATTTTATTAAGACTTGTTTTGTGACCTAATATATGATCTATCCTGTCCTGGAGAATGTTTCTTGTGCACTTGAGAATAATGGGTCTTCAGCTGTTGTTGGGTGGAATGTTTTGTATACGTCAGTTAGTTCCATCTGGTCTAACATGTTTAAGGTCGATGCTTTCTTATTGTTTTCTGTTAGAATGATCTATCCATTGTTGAAAGTGGGGTATTAAAGTCCCCTACTATTATTGTATTACTATTTATTTCTCCTTTCAAATCTCTTAATATTTGCTTTATACAGTTAGGTGTTCTAATGTGGGGTGCATAAATATTTCACAACTGTTACATCTTTTTGATGAATTGACCCCATTATATTATATAATGACCTTCTTTATCTCTTATTACAGTTTTTGGCTTAAAGTCTATTTTGTCTAATGTAAGTATAGCTATCCCTGTTTTCTTTTGGTTTCCATTTGCATGGAATATCTTTATCCCTTCACTTTCAATCAATGTGTGTCCTTAAAACTGAAATGAGTCTCTTATAGATAGCATATAATTGGTTCTTGGTTTTTTTTTTGTTTGTTTGTATGTTTGTTTGTTTTTTAATCCATTCATCCACTCTGTGCCTTTTGGAGAATTTAGTCCATTTACATTTAAAGTAATTAATTATTCATAGATAGGGACTTACTGTTGCCATTTTGTTCATTGTTTTCTGGTTGTTTTATAGTTTCTTTGTTTCTTCTTCTCTTCCTTTTTCACTTGATGCTTTACTCCAGTGGTATGCTTTGATTCCTTTCTCTTTATCTTTTATGTATTTATTATAGATTTTTGCTTTGTGGATATGCTGAGGCTTACATAAACATCCAGAACTTGAGTTCTTAATTATGTATATGTATAGTTAGATGAAGGGTCTGGTGGGGAGAAAGGATAACTTTTATCTAAATCAAATAGTCCAAAAGCAATGAATGTGAGGATCAGTCTTTCTATAAAGACAAGTAGGGAACAAACTACCTCAGGATCCCTCGAACTGTCTTCACCACATAGAGCCATACCCAAAATCAATTAGTAGTAATACTGGAGGTACGCTTGGGAGAGAAAGGGAGGCCCTAACCCCCTCAGGTGAGAACTGACTCCAACAGTAGGAAAGTTATCACTGGGGCCTTTAGACAAGTAATATTTGTTAAACTTTTACACCCTGTATTTGCTTAGAGTAGCACAATGATAAAGGAAAACAAATCAAAGGAGACTTGGTTTTCTTAAGCAATACTGTACAGTTTTAAAGGAGAGTAAGAAATTACCATTAGATATTGAGCAGCCTGTGGTATTCTGATCGGCTAAATTCATAAGATATCATAGGCATGTTTTCACCCATGTTAAAATATTTTTAGAAGAAAATTCAGCAGAGGTTGATACTATTGTTTATCTTTTAACTTTAAATTTTTATAGATTTTTGTAAGGGTTTTTTCAATGATTTCATTTCCACACTGAAGATTGCTTGTAAGATATATGTTACTAGTTTATTATAATGAATTACAGTTTCCAATTAGAAAATAGTGTTGTGTTTATTAAATATAATATGCCTGGCAGACATTTTTTACCAGCAATAATGAAGTTTACTGGGTGTTCAGATTAATTTCTTGTTCTAGAGCTCATTGTACCAGGAGTCTTTGAAATAAGGGATCTGTTTAAATTTTGTTTACTTTTAGTAAAACAATTGATATGAACCTGGACTATGGCTAATTTAATTTAGAAAATGCACTTATGTTTTAATCCAAGTTATTAAATTATTAGCCACTACTAATAAACACGAGGAGGGAAAAACAGTTGGACCTTTTTCAAATTGAGGCTGTTTTCAATACATTTGGGTCATTCTGAATGTCAGTTTCACTGGTTCCTTGGAGATTTGATAAATGACGCTGCTCCCCAGGTTATACCTTAAAATGTTTTCCTTTAACCAAGACCATGGTGGAATTTTTTTTTAATCATTTGCTGCTGCTTCTGGTTAGATAGATAAGTGGATAGAGTAAATCTTTACTTAAAGGCAAATTACTGTTGTTGTTGTTGTTGTTGTTGTTATTTTCTATTTAATCAGTCTTGGAACATGGACCATATAGTTTGAAATAGAAACTACTGCTTTATATTCTGAGATAACATGAAATTACATTTCCCACACATTACTCTGTAAAAAGCATTGTCATGAAAAGCAACAAGACCAAAGTCCTTCAGAATTACTAAAGAATTTTTTATCATGGAGAATATTAAAAATGAAAAGGCACTTTGAACTTTTGATGATTCTAAATTTAGGTAACTAGATTTTGGGGTTTTTTGTTTTGTTTTATCCTTTGTATCATTCACAGGAGAATTTTTTAATGCTATTTCTCCTATACCATACACATTTGTAATATTTTACATGTAAAGTGAAGGTGTCCAAGTATAAGCACTTAATCTTTCTTACTCATCATGAAACATCATTTCTGGAGGGGCTCAACCTGCTTGCAGATCCCTGTACAGCTTTGCTTACCCTCCACTTGCGTTGCTGAAGGCTTTTTAGCACTCTCACCTGCGTGCAGAGTCAAGTTAAGGTTGACTGGCAGGTGAAATAAGAATGTTTCCCTATAGGTTTGCCTCAGACATCTGCCTACCATGATACATTTTTAGATGAGCTTATTATTAAAGAAGTTTTAGTAACAGATTTTTTCAACATAAAATAGAGGCCAAAGTTCAGATCAAATAGAGTTTAAAGACTAAATCACTGACACTGTTGTAATTATCACATAAAGTCATTTTGTGATTTTTCTTCCCCCAAGAAGTTTCATGAAAGGTTTATTAAATGTATTATTTCAAGAGTATCTCTTTTGGTTCAGAGATAATTCTTCTAAAGGTACTTTTTAAAAATTACTTATTCTGATATGCTATTTTGAATATTTAGGGATATTCCTGTGGATTTCAAGTATATAGCAGAACCCAGTATGCACTCAATGCCTGCCGTGACTTTGTCTCCAAATGGTGAGTTATAGATAGAATGTGTTTTTAAATGAGCTTCTAAGAAATCACATGGTGTTATTTCTGTTCAAAAGAGCCTTGGTCATTCCCTCTGAGAGGGACCCTCTCACAGTGCCATGCTGTATAAGGAAATCTTTGCATTATTAGAAATAATCATTAGTTTTCATATGTGAGTCACCTCACAGTGTCTCTTGTTTTTTAAAAGAATAAAACTAAACAAAACAATGACTTGCAGCTAACATTGACTGAGCATCTAAGTATTTCCATCTGAGGATCAGGTTTTTTAAAATTATTCTCCTTCCAACAGAATCGGGTTCCACAACTCATTTAGTGACTTCTTGTGAGTTCTTTTTCTTTCAGGGAATAGAAAATTTCGGTCTGTTTCCCATAATGAGAACATCTTAGCAATTCACTATAAAATATTTTCTGAGGCAAAATAAAAAAGATAAATCTACTTAATACTGTTTTCTGTTCAGTAATGCATTGCCTGTTAAGCGCAAGGTAATTTGTACTGCAGATGTCCTGACAGTACACTGATATAGTTATAGCTCTGCATGAGGATATTCAAGTGGAGGAACTGATGTTTGGGCAACATTGTCATCAAAGCCACCTAAGTTAACTCAGAGTTACTGTGAGTGTAGAACAAGGAAGAGACCATAAGCGATAGCTTGCTCCTGTGTCGGGGCATCTGCCCCAGGCAAACCGGTAATCATTTGTGTCAAATGCCCCATGATTTTTATGAGAAGAGCAACCTAACTGGGTCCTATTTTAATAATCGCCATATTGTATACTTTGTCACATCTGTCACTGCATATACGTTTCAAGGAGTGCATTTTTAAAGTATCCATTATAAATATTGTGTCCATCTTGTACAAGGCCCGCTCAGACTGTGAGCATTGTTAGGATCATCCCTCAGTTAATAATGGCCACGAGTCTATAGGACGCAAAACGACACTGCAGCTTAGGCTCCAGGGACTTTGGGAAATCCTGGCTAGACGAAAGCAATGTGGCCTTTCAACAACAATGCCTAAAATTTTTCTGATCATATCTTTTTTTTGGTATAGTTTTATTTAATAATCCTACGTTTTCTCACCTAAAGTTGATCTTTCCTTTTTTAATAATGGACATAGAGAAATCTTCTCCCCATGGTTCTGTTGTCTGTATTTAATACAGATTAATTTCATTTCATAAAATTTTTAAACAAAAAACGTTTTTATATGAAGAATGCTCAATGACATAGGATTGTATGAGCAAAATCCATTACTTTATATACCTCTTGCCAGCGACAAATTTGTAACACTTTACAGGTGCTATGGTAAATTTATTTTCCTATTATTATAAAGAATTATTATAAAGTTGGGAACAAAAGAATATGAATGATTGCATATATTTAGAATGAAAATTCTTTTTAAAATTTTCAGTTTTTCTCTAAAATGTCTCATTTATCGAATTTACAGGAAAATGGCTAGCGTGCCAATCAATGGACAACCAGATCTTAATTTTTGGAGCACAGAACAGATTTAGATTAAATAAGAAAAAAATTTTTAAGGGCCATATGGTAGCTGGCTATGCTTGTCAGGTGGACTTTTCACCAGACATGAGGTAAGTTTAAATCTTCTCCTGTATTCTCATATTCAGATATGATGATATGAACTTCTGTTGTACAAGTAATAACACTTTACATATCACTTTCACATATGTAATTATATGAGAACTGTGCAGATTTTCAAAATGCCAGATAAAAGGGCAAGAACAAGTTATGAAAATTACCTTTTGCTTCTTTAAGTTCTTCCAGATATCTTCCAGATATCTTCCAGATATTGTTTAGTCCTGTGCCCTTTAACTGTCTATATAGGCAGTGCCTTGTTTTCTCTCTGCTTTTCTAAGCAAGGCTTGGAGGACTGTAATTGCTATATTGCTGTGATGGAATGAACACCAGAAGAATTAATTCTATGTTGCATTGTTGAAGTTAACAGAAATCAGCTTTTCTGTGCTGAAATCTCAAATCCAACTTCTGAATATTTCTAGGTCACACTAGATTTGTGAAGTAAAACAGTCTTTCTGAGTAAAGCTGCATTCCCCCATTCTTGGCTAAAATATATATAACAATAATTCAGAAATCCCTTTAGCCTGATAATTGGGCCTTAGACTCCTACCTCAAAAGGTATTGGAGCCAAGAAGTAATTATGAAGGTGGTAGAATCTACTGCAGTAGAAAGGGTCTAAGTGTGTTTGCTGGCTCCGTGCAATTGGTTCCCTTACCGTTTCTGACTGTATAGAGAGGGATTGTGATACCACATTCAGTGTGGCCCCGGGGCATCTCAGTCTCCCAAGTTAAAAATTATTTTTTACTCTTACATTGTTGCTCCATGGGGATGGTTTTTGGTAGAAGTTTAAGTTATAGACTGCTTTATGCTCTACTTTGTTCTCATTGATCTACAGATGGTTAAAAAGATACACTCTTTCTTTGTTCTTCGTCTACTTTACCAGTTTGAGGTGTTTGAATAATTTGAATTTATTTTTCTTCCCTTTGTAGCTATGTGATTTCAGGAGATGGAAATGGAAAGTTAAACATCTGGGACTGGAAGACCACAAAACTCTACAGTCGGTTTAAAGCTCACGATAAAGTGTGTATAGGTGCAGTGTGGCATCCCCACGAAACGTCTAAAGTCATCACCTGTGGTTGGGATGGTCTCATTAAACTGTGGGATTAATGAGATTAATCCTTAAACTATCTAGGATTATTTTTGATCCAGTAACATATTTAACTATATTTAATTATTAAATGTGTTGGATGATAACTTGATTTACAGATTATCATTTCCTTACATGGCCTTATAAAGTTGACACATTGTTTAAAAAACGCTTTGTAAATTTGGCTCATATAATTTCATTGGCAACTTTATTTTGTTCTTTATGGGTATTATTTATACAGAGAATGGCCATTAGTTTTCTATTTGACAAGTAGATACTATTGGCAGGCGGTTTGGGCTTACCCCCAAGCCATAACTGAAAAGATCCCTTGGAGTCGTGTAAGAATCCCTAGTGGATTTGGGGTTCTAAAGGAGATAGTACAGGTAATGACAAATAACTCAGAAAGGTACCATGTACATACCTCTTAAGCAAAGAGAGAAGTAAGGAATAGTGGAGTTCCACTATTTTTATGACACATGTTGTGTGTTTTTAGTTATAAGCCAGCAATCTTTTCTCACTGTAGCATTCCTCTGATTATTAAACAATGTAAAATACAAATCAGCCCAGAGTTCTTTCCTTGGCTTTCTTCCTGATCAGTATATAAGAGAATTATGTTATTTTTGAAGATGAAACTCAAAGGAATGAGTCAGAACTTTGGACTTCATTTGTATTGACTGTCAGGAAGAACTTGGCCATACTTTCAGAAATCAGGGTCTCTCGGGCCATTGCTTCACAGATGTTACTACTGAAACACTCCTCATAGGAGACAGGGCAACGATGAAAATATCAACTTGTAATTTCTTTGAAGAGTTGTATGTTTTATCTTTAAAGTTATTCTGATTTGGTTTGGGAATATATTAGACAGAACTTTTTAAAATTAGAAAAGTTTTGAACATCTTTCTAAATCTTTGAGTAAAATTGACAATCCAGGAAAATGGCTAGGGTTCCCCAGTTTTCGAAGCAATGGCTGTGGTTGGGTTTAAAAACTTCAGATTGTGAAATTAAGATAGCCTCTTGAATATAGTAGCTAATAGCACTTTGGTTTGACAGACCATTTCTCCAGCTTTATTACAGATCTGTATCAGATGTTTGAATGTGGTTTGAAATGTTTCAGTACCGTGCTAGAAAAGATTGATTCATTAGCTGCTCAGAGTGCTGACTAGGAGACCAAAATCATATTGAGTGTTGATATCCTAAGGGCGTTAGCTCTGAGTCTTGTGTTATCAATAGTAGTTCATACTTTTTGTCTTCAAGAACATCCTTTTTTTTTTTTAATCTAAATTAAAAAAAAAAAAAAAAA